ACGCAGTGAGAAGGCACTGGTAGTGTCACCCGTAGGGGATCACAGAGGTCGAGTCTTGTAGGCGGGTTTCCGACAAGCAGCAGATACCGATCGAGATGGTCTCTACTGTTCAGATAAGTGTTGACTGTTGACCGATCTGTAACAATGCGCGTACGTTGAGGCATGCCAGTCTGAAGGAGGATCGATGGCTCCAACTAAAGGCCGTTGAACTTGGCTCGATTGATTAGGTGGACATGGGCTTGTCTTCATGGTAGGAGCCATCATCATCATTATACACGTCAGCTAGAGGTGGGAAACACAGCTACTGTGCCGCAACACATAAATGAAAAAGGAAAATAAATACAAAAATTGCATGCCAGCTGAGCTACCAGCAACGGATAGGGATCGTTCCGGTAAGCTACCAGCCGAATACTAGGGAAAAGAAAAAAAATTATGGTGGTTTACGTTAAGAAATGAGATCGCAGGTGGACATGGAGGCTAAAAGGCATGGGGAGGGACAAAGAAACTCACAGCACGAACGCCACTGAGGTCGGCTCCTAGCCATATCAGCAAGTGTATCCAACCAAACGTGTTCACCGTCTTTTGGACCCCAACCAGGGAGCCGTGAAGCTCCTACCGAGGCCAGCTCCGAAATGAGGGCCTTCATTCCTCTGGACCAAGTCATCGCTTGGCCACCTCTCCTCTTCTTCCACCCACATCCCCGGTGAGCAAACAACGCACGTCGAGGGAGTCGGTGGGCAGGCATGCGTAACACGTGGCCGAGCCATCGGAGCCTGGTGCGTGAAATGACGGTGCTGCGCGGTTCAGTTCCTTTTCCTGTGCTGTAAACAAGGCGTCAAACACGCTCGTTACTCACGCGGTGTTCCCACCAGATGTGAGCCAAACTGCGAAGGCACCGATGGTCGAACGTAACTCGCTTCTTCATGTCCGCCGATCTTAGGGGCCAGGTTTCGCAACCGTACAGTAAGGTCGAACGTACCGCTGCATTGTGCACTCTACCCTTCAGAGCAATAGTGATGTCGGGCTGCCGCCATAGGTGGCGAAGGTTAGCAAAAGCACTTCGAGCTTTCGCTATACAGTTCGTGATCTCGTCTTCGATCCTAAGGGCGCTGATACAACTTCCCAGGTAGTTGAATTTCCGAACCACTTCTAGCTGGTCCCCACCAAGGGTCAGCACAGGAGGCGATCCCTGCCAATCTTGGAGGAACGCTTTGCACTTCGATGGTGCAAAACAAAGCCCGAAGCGGCTGACAGCCAGTGCTAATCTGTCCAGCGCAGCTTGGCACGTCTGGGAGCTGTCACAGATGAGGGCAATGTCGTCTGCATACTCCAACTCGAGAAGTCGTTCTCCTGCGAGTAGCTCCACACCTTCCAAGTCATGTCCTGTAAACGCAATCTCCATGACTTCGTCAATAGCAAAGTTGAAGAGGAAAGGTGACAGCGGACATCCTTGTCTCACACCGCTGGAGATATTGAAGGGTGGCGACAGCTTGCCGTAAGCCCTCACTCTGCCCGTGCTACGCGTATACAATGCTTGGATAATATTTACATATTTCTCGGGCACACCTTTCCTGAGTATACAATTCCAAAGGGCACATCGATCAACCGAAACGAAGGCACCTTTGATGTCAAGGAACACGACTACAGTGGGCCGCCAATATGTGTGACGGTGCTCCAACAACTGACGCAAGGTGAAGATGTGGTCGATGCAGCCACAACCCCGACGAAACCCGGCTTGCTCCTCACGAATCTGTCTTTCACGAGCGCCAGTCAGTCTGTGAAGAATCATGGAGGCGATGGAGATCAGACTGATTCCTCTATGGTTGCCGCATTCCGTACGTGAGCCTCCTTTGAAGATGGGAACAATAACGGAGCGGCTCCAGTCGGTTGGGACAGTTTCCTGCTCCCACAGTTTCACCAGTAATTCATGTAAAGCATCAACAAGAGCAGAGCCTCCGAATTTGAAGAGGACTGGAGGAAGATCATCAGGTCCCGCTGCTTTGCTAAACTTCAACAGTTCGATCTCACGTTCGACTTCTGAGTGAGACGGTGGATCCAAAGGGACAGCCCACGGAGCAGAGCGATCACTGGCCGGCGAAAAATCGAACAATTCTAGCCGATTAAATTGCTTCTCGCAATGCTCAGCCCAACGCTCCAAACGTTTTGACGATTTGTGGATAGGCTGTCCACTCTCGTTACTTGTAGTTTCACTAACACCAGGTCTCCTGCTGCCCGTTTCCCGTATCAGACGGAATAACTTACGATGGTTGCCAAGGGCAGCGGCCATTTCCATCTCTGACGCACGATGAGACCACCAAGATTCGCGGTCTCTCTACAGGCTAGCACGGGTTTTCGCCCGGAGCTCTTTGCGGGTTTCATTGTGTTCGCTTCCAGCCGGGATATGCCGGCGAAGCGTCGATAAGTTCTAGAGACCGAGAAGAGACCCAATATCCATTTTGATATTAGACATACCACATGAGGATTTGCCTGCTAATAGTAAGTTCTGGTGAACATGTGACCAGTGACCAACAATTGTCTCCAGTGAGCGATTACTCAACTCGCATGTCAGCGTACTTCGATACGCATTCAGAACAGCTGGCTTTGTCAGTTGGCTGGTGTCAATGCGCTCACAGCGTCGTCGTGGGCTTCCGCCAAAGCGCATCCGCATGTCAGCACATACAGGTGCATGATCGGTGTCCACACACGTGCTCCAAATCGATCGACGCTTCTGGACGCATCTTCTCCATCGGTAACTTATCACAATGTGATCGATTTGCGTCCAAGGCTGGTTCGAGGCTGGTGGGCGCCAAGTCATCCTCCGGCGGTTGCTGTGTCGGAAGTTAGTGCTCGCAAGAAATAAGCGAGCATCTTCACACACCTGAAGTAACCGCTCACCGTTCTCATTACGGGAGCGTACACCTTGCTGACCGCCCAAATGCATTTCCTCAATGAACAACATTCCAACTTGTGCATTCAGATCCCCAGCCAGCACAGCAGTGTCCGAGCTTCTTCTGTGGCGAAGGAGCTGGGTCAGTTGGCCCTAGAAGTCGTTCTTTACCGAATCGTCGCTACAATTTGCTGGTGCATAGGCAGCGATGATGAATAGACACCTATTAGTCCCGCGCGACTTCGAAGCTTTGAACGAGCCAGCCAATCGGACCGCACACATTCGGATACTGATTGGAATCCAATCAACCAGAGCAGTTTCAGCCCGGGGACTCAGGGCAATGCCAACACCAGCTTGGCCGGTGCTCGAAGCTGCATCGTCACCGGATAGGTGCAATGAGAAAATACGGCTTGCTTCACCTGAAGGGGATCGCAGATTGAGCACAGAGCTCGAATCTTGCAGGCGGGTCTCCGATAAGCAGCAGATGTCGATCGAGAGGGTCTCCAATGTTCGGGCAAGTACTGCCTGTTGACCGATCTGAAGCAATGTGCGTACATTGAGGCATGCCAATCTGAAGGATGATCGAGGGCTCCAAATGGAAGCCGATGAACTGGAATGGACCGCTTGATTGGACATCGGCTTGTCCACAGGAGAGGAGTGACGCTCCGCATTCACATGTGAGTTGAAATTAAAAGATAAATGCCTAGCAAAGCATGTTGGGGGAGGGCCAAGAATTGGGGGATTGAAAACTGGGGGATAAAAGTGAAGTTGGAACGGGACGGTAAGGGTGAAAATGCGTAAGATGGGGAATAAGAAGGTGGGAAGGCTTGAGCAGTAGCTTCCAAACCCCTATCCACTCCGCTCAATGCAACAGCTAAGGCGCCGGTGACGACCGGAACATCTACTTATGGTTTGAAGGTCAAGTCCTTGTATTGCGTAGGTTGGATACTGCGACCTTGCCTGCAGCTAGTCAAACAAACGATTAGTGTTCTCAAGCGAAGTCTTTGGTTCAGAAACCTGACCTAAAAGCAGCGTTTTTCAGTGGACTTCGCGGAGTATGTTTTAAGGGAAAAGTCGTCACCTTCACTTCAAATCCCAACACGGGGCCCAGGAAATTTGGTTTATTTGGCCAATAATTATTGACAGGTGCGGTGTGCGTGGTCGTGAAGGTGAAATAAGCGCTTTGCAGTGTTGCTCATTGGATTGCTGAGGCATGCAAACCATCGTACCACGGTAAGGTCCAGCCTCATTTCAATGGATCGTCCCACAGTAGCACGCAGTCTTATTGTGATGGTTGTGTTTGTACCACGTGCATCGATCTCTACATGTCCTTCAAAGTTATGTTCTGTATTTGATTCGTAGCCGACTTGGGCATGCTTGTGTCCTCGACCAACACGATGCCCTGTTCTTCGCCATTCAAATAAGCGAAGAAATCTGACGATGGAATGCATTTTTGCAAGTGTACTGCCATTATCATTACGCGCTAGTTGAAGGTGACGGGCACACTTCAGCTATTGTACAGTGATAACAAAAGTTAGAACGTACGAAAATCCGTGATACCTAACATCACAGAATGCAAAATCTAGGGAAAATTAGTGGAACAGTGCTAAGTAAGCGTATGGCCAGAAGATGTGTAGCTTGATACAATATGAAATCATCTAACCTTCGTATGGTCCCCGACGGAGCTTCGCAGGGGAATGCCGCACAATCAGTCGTCTGTTGGAATCCAGTCTAGAAGAGCAGCTTCTGCTCGTGTACTGTGTTCTACTCCAGCGCCGTAGATGTCGCTAGTAATTGGCTCAGTGTCACCGGGGACGCATGGGTAAACCCGAGTCGGATGGTCATCTATGATTTAGGACGTTATCGCCCTGTATGCGTTCTTCGGAGATACAGTCAACATGAACTTATAAGGTGAGCACACTAACAGCAAATGCTGTTGGCCTAACTGAAACCGAGTGCATATATTAGAATACCAAATGTAGCATTGTAGCCTGGACTTGCAGGCTGGGCCGGTTTCTTTCTATTACGTCCCGTGGATTTGTTGGCACTCTCTTTGCGGACACGAGAAAACTCGTGAAAATGAATGAAAACGAAGATGAGGGAGGTATTCTTGATGGCAGTATGTTGTGGAAAGATAACATCCCCTAGTTTACCCACTCCGAAACAGGATTCTGTTCGAAGTGACCGTTTCTAACCATCAATTCGGTAGTCGTACTCACAAGGTAGTGGGGAGCACGTCTAGTTCGGGCGTGAAACTGGGATGTGTTTCAGACTCATCATAGGCAGGGTTAAAAGATCTGGACTGACTCATATATTTCCCGTGGTATATGACGCACATTCGACCACGGCTAACCACAGCTGCGACTACACTGGCTTGCGCCTAATTCGTCACTAGTTACCTGGTTCTAGGCAGGCGGTAGCAAACCATGGACTGTGTGTGGCAATCTCCCACTATCAGAGTCAACGCATGGTCTTCATGCTGTATACCAGTTCAGCTGTGCTTATAACTCGTAGACTTGTCTCTTTCCTTAGCCTCCATAGAAGACTATTCTGAGACTGAATTGATCTGACTCCCGACTTAGTGTGAGTGATTCTGCCGGCACATGGAAAGTGTCACCCATTGTGGCTCAATGTGTGACAGGTGTACACATACTGTTGCACAACATTGAGGTCCGACCTCGTCGCGATGGATCATGCTGGGACTGTAAGACCGATGCATCACCATCTCAATCAGTTAGTTTCGCAGCAGGCTGGACGCCACATTGGTAGAGCCATAAGAGTCCGATATCGATCGGATCAAGATACCTAGACTCACACCACTGGTCGATTTTTCGGAACGCACTCGGCTTAACGGCGGTATCCACTCATCAGCAAGAACAGCAGTACATCAGCCATTCGAACTGATGCTTCGATGCCGTACCTACGGAGCGAAGAACAATAAGGGGGAGAGAAGCGGAACGTGCCGAAGAACCTTAATGCCCTAAACAAACATTCAGGGTCAAGGCACCTACGCCTTGCCAACAACCTGCCATTACAAACAGCTGCCCATCATGCGAAGATAGGGCGGGATCAGCGAGACAGCTTTCTTACGGCTTTCACTGTCCCGTTTCATAATCAGTCATTAACCAACTGGAAACTCAACATCGAACACGCTTTAACCAGGCACTCCGATTGGGAGACGGCAGTAGATGCGCCACTGGTGTCGACTGCGAGCCATATCCTGTAAGGTCTCGAGCCAAACGCAAAGCGGGTCACGTGGACCCCATCCTGGGGGGGGGGGGTTGACGAGACGGACTGACAGTACTAAGTTTGCTCCTCATTTCTCGCTACCAACTTAGCTTTTCTCCACCTCTAGCCTTGCGACATCCTGTATCTGGCAGACTAAACAAGACTTTCCTAGCTACGCGGTGACCGGGCATACGTAGCACGTGCCGAGCCAACGCAACTTATTCAGTGCTATCTGTTGTTCAAAGGACTAGCTTGGTTATTACTGCCTAGTACACGCCCACGCGCATCATCGTTGCGGGCATGTTGGTGCCGCCCGATATCAGGTATGCTCCGCAGACTGAGAGTATCAAAGACTTGAATACCCATCAGATCCTCAGGTCGAAGGGGAGAAGCCTCGCTCCCACCCGCCCTCACTGTGGCCTTGTATACACGGCCTTTTATACGGAGGAAGACTCCTTTGTGTCATCAAAGATGTCGCAGGTTCAAGAAGGCAGTTCTGGCTTTTGTAATACGTGAAACGACTTCACTGTTTATGTGCCCATCGTTGCTAATGCAGCTGCCAAGTTAAGTGCAGTGATCAACTACCTCGAGTTCCTCGTTATCGAGGGTTACGAGGTCATCAATTGGCCGGTGGTTCTGCAACAACACTTTACACTATGAAGTTGCGAAGCGCATGCCGAATAATGGGACCACTATTGATTAGTTATTCAGGGTTGATTGAGCCGCCTAAGCGTCGTTGAACAACATGACAATATCGTCCGCATAATCAAAGTCAACTAACCTATCGACAGGCTGCACAACGCCTGCATCGTGAAGCTTCGTAAGGGAACACTCCATGATGGAGTCCACCACGAAATTGAACAACATTAGGGAATTTGAACTAAGCTGATGAACACCACTTGTTGTTGGAAAGATATCCGACAAGTCACCGAAGACTGACGCGACCTGATGTATTCGAGTACAGAGCACGCAAAATGTTCACATATTGCGTGTGAACACTTTTCCGCGCAAGTATTCTGAACAGAATAGATCAATTGACTGAATCGAACGCACTATTGAAGTCGAGGAACAGAATTAATTTTGGCCTGTGGTATGCGTAGCGCTGCTTTAGCACCTGCCGCAAAGTGCGTATATGGTCTACACAGCCACGTCCTGGGCAGAAACCTTCCTGCTCTTCCCTAATCCGAGATTCCTGTTCCTCAGTGAAGCGAAGAACGAGAGTGCAGGCCAACAATTTTGTCAAAACTGGCATTAAGCTATTACTCCTGTGGTTGGCACAGTTGGTGCGATTGCCTTCCTCGTATATTGCCACTATAGCCGATTCACTCCAGTTAGCCGGAACGCTCTCTTCCAGATATGTTCGAATATTGAGGTCAGTGCTTTGCAGGGGACCTCACCTCCATCCTTAAATAGTGCATATTGGAGGGAATCCGGGCCAGCGGCACGAAAACGATTGAGGGCTTTGATCGTGTTTTGGACCTCGGCGTCCGACGGACGCTCGAAACTGATCGTCCATGGCTCGTCCTGCATCACCTGAGTAGGAAGAGGTTCGGAATCATGGAGCCAGCTGAAGTGATCCTTATTATTCGGTGCACCCGGGCTGTATCTGATTGTCTCACTGACGCTTAGTTTTCTGGGACCAGTGGTGCGGATTAGCTGGAAGAGCTTGCGGCGATTGCATACTGCTCCTGCCTCCTCTATTTCTTGAGCCCGACTGGTCCACCAGGCTTCCTTGTCAGCACGTAGGCTCCCCTTTAGTTTCCGCCTAATACTCCGTCTTGTCACCTTGTGCTCAGAGCCAGCCGGGAGGTTTCTTCTGCATTCCAACAGGTTCACCGACCTCTCGGATATCCAATGACTGGTGCGGTGACGATGGATAGTACCACAAGCAGATGCTCCTGCGTCGTGCATGCCGGTCGGGATCCGATTCCACTGAAGCTCAGTGTCATTAGGATAAGAGAGCGAATGTTTGATACGCAGTGCGTTTTGATGGGCTTGCCTGACCGAGGGCTGGGACAATTTCTCCATTGCCAATCGGGGGAGACGCTTTGTGCGCCTTCCGGTAAAGTTCATGGAGAAACGACAGCGCACCAAGGCATGATCATAGTCGACGAGGTACTCCAGTACGAGTGGCAATCCAGAATGGAACCGCGTCACCTGTAACTTATGACTATGTGGTCAGTTTGGGTCCATCGCTGGCCAGCTACAGGAGGACGCCAAGTGGCAATTGGGCGCCCACTGTGTCTAAAAGCGTTGCTACTAGAAAACAACTGGTGCACCGCCCACAATCGCAGCAGCCGCTCACCGTTGTCAGTCCGTTCACAGTTATGCCCACAATTACCGCCCAGCTGAGTTTCTGAAGAGCTCAGACGCCCTACTTGTGCGTTCATAACCCCTGCGATTGCTGTAGTATCTGAACTAGTAGCACTGCGTCGTAGCGTGTTTAGTTCGTCATAGAATGCGCCCTTGACAACATCTGAACTGCAGTCGGTGGGAGCATAAGCGGTAATCACAAACAAACGGCGTTTTTTACTACTTCGCGAATCCACCTTAGCTGATGTCGTCAAACAGGCTGCACATAAACGGCTGTTCACCGGAGTCCAGTCAACCAATGATGGCTCAGCGTTGGAGCTGAGAATGATACTTACACCAGCTTGACCCGTGAGTGCTGCATCGGGGTCTCTGGATGCGTGCAACCAATAACGAGGGGATAAGCCGGGTGAAGTCAATTCAATAACCCCGTTAGGGTCATTAATCCTAGTTTCGGACACACAACACACATCAACACCCAGTGTGTCCAAGGTGCGTGCGAGTGCAGCCTGTTGACCTGTTTGTCTTAGAGTGCGGACGTTGAATGTCGCCATGGAAACGGGACAGCGTGGCCTTATAAGGGACTTTTGCCGATAGGCGTCCGATAGGTGCTGTGGGGTGGTGGCTGCAGATGGTACTACTCCAGTAGCACTTCGGTTGCTGTCAATTAAGCTGGGAATTATAGAAGGAAGGTTAGTAATGGATGCCGGGATGGGAGTAAGAGAAAAAGGTGGAAAATGATGAAGGGAGGCGCCAGCAGTAGCATGTTTTCGTTTATCCGCCCTGCTGTATGCAGCAGATAAGGCGACCCTTGATAATCTGCGCGACGGCCGATGCAGGATGAAGTTTATGTTTGAAGGAAATGTCATGGAGGAGTTGAGTGGTATAGATAGAAATTCGTCATATCTACACTCACTCAGACAGCCGTCTCACGCCCAGCAAAGCACTGTTCGCGCGTTTCATCCTTTCGGGAATCGTTAGCAGTGCGCATTCCATCGGACCCTGGAAAGGCTCGGACCCGCAGCTCGACTATTGACGGTCCGTGGTTGAGACCACTATGCTAATGCTACGGGGGACGGCAACGATCATCGTGAATAAGTTACTAGATGTGACAATGCGCTCACTCACTATCCATTGACTTGCACGTTTCTACCGTGCAGAGGACAGGGTAGCCCCGTCACCAAGCGACGAACTTATCAAACTGAAGCCGCCAATTAACTTATGGCGTTATAAGCAATTTGATCTGCGTACTGATTACAGAGGAGCAGTAGGGGGAGTTGAATGGTATAGGTCGAAATTCGTCACATCTTGACTTAGACAGCCATAACACTCCCGGAAAAGCAATGTACGTGCGTCTCATCCTTTCAGGAGTCGTCAGCAGTGCACATTCCATCAGACCCTGGTAGGGCTCGAACCCGGCGGGATGTGAGATATCTCGAGCGATTTCATCAACAGTGTCTGCGACGGATTCTACGCATCGTTTGGTGCGATAGTATTGCTGACACGGAGATGTTGCGCCGAAGTGGAATGTACGCACTGGACTGCATACTTTTACTACGACACCTTAGGTGGCTCGGACACGTGTGGCGTATGGGCTCGACGCGGATACCGAAGCAGCTCTTATATGATCAGCTGCGTTTTTGGAAGTGACATGTGGAGAAACCCAAGCTTCGTTACCAGGACATGATCAAGCTGAGCCTATCACGTTCTAATTTTTATTTCAGGTGTTTGGAATCGAAGGCAGTTGGTCGGGGTACGTGGAGCGATCTGATCAAGATGGTAGCTGCCGAGGTGCAAGATAAAGCCCTCATGCATGCAGGGAAGAAGCGGAAGGTTCGGAAAGGACAGGTACCGATGGGTTGTACTCCATCGACGTCGAGCGCATGGTGCTGTAGCACATGCGGTCGCGAGTGCCTGAGTCGGGCAGGTCTAGTGAGCCACGGGCAAAGCCACTCGGGACCAGTATCGAAACGACGACGGGTCCTTTTGAGAACGTAAGTAGAACCAGCGCAGCCTTGGTAGATACACTACATGTGCTTCCATTCGACTTACTAACCGCGTGCTTGTGTGCTGAGTTTCTTTATTGTGATGTCTACCAGTGTAATCTTCTGTTAACGTACACATGTCGCTTAAACGGAAGGCGGTTATCTTCGTCTTTTTTTACCGTATGTTGCATGTTTTTTATTTTTTGTTTTGCCATCATGAATTTTCGCTGATATTTTGATAACGGATTTCTTTCATGTGCTTATTTTTGCGAAGACTTATGTCGGCATCTCAATATGGTGTTTTCGATCTATTACATTTGATATAGTCATTTCAAGTGATTGTCTGTTGCTTGACATCCCCGGTGTGGCTGCGCTTGATGTGCATGTTTGACAAGGTACGTATCTGTATATTACCCGCTACCTCCTCTATGCAGGATCTAGGAGACAGTTGGCCGTTGCTGGAGGGGCCGGAGTGCACGGTTCTTGTGGTTCCTTCTAGTGTGGAGCGGACTACCGTCCAACCACCGCTTTGTGTGCGCATGTTTCCCCAAATACGGCGTACTTGTGTTTGCTTGTGAAGGGATGTGGGCCGGCTGCGTTGATGAAACGTGGTTCCCATCCGCATACCTCCCGGTCTTGTTGCTTCAGGTCTACACCGGATATGGGCTGTGGATGGAGCTGTGAGTGATACAGTGCAAGCCACTCATGGTCTCACTGTAGGCGCAGTCGTCATGTGGCTGTCCTATGAAGGACACAGTGCCAGGCAAATCCGGAACCGGATATCGCCAACCATTGAAGAATGCGCGATAGTTTTCATTGTTGGACTTGTTTGTTCTCTGATGTAACATTTTATAAGTTTATTGTTTCGATATTGAACTGATGCTCTATCTTTTTTTATTGTAGTTGAGACTTGGAGCGCTACGCTGGACAACACAGAGGAGCTCGTTAAGACTCCCACTCGGAATAGGCAATTTCGCTTGGCCCACCAGAACCTGTGCATCACTCACATTGACTTTGAGCAGCGGCTCCTTGTGGGTTTCACGCAACTAATCGTACAGCCTACAGCGTCAAATTTACGAAAACTTTATTTGAACTGTCGGCAATGTCGTGTTCACCGGGTTCTCCTGGAATGTGTCGACACGAAACCACCCACCTACGAAGGATCTTCGAAACTGACCGGCCCGAAGAATTCTCGTGTTCCTTCGCCAGCAGATTTACCTGTTGTTCACACAGACCCTAGCGTGGAAATTTGTGAACGTGATTCTAAATTTCGAACTTTGGATAGTTTCCAGCGGCGCCATTCTTTTGTTCTGTCACAAACAGATCCGGACGAGGAGGTCGGGGAGCTGACTATACGTATCCCCCCTGACTTTTGGCCACTTGTGTCCAACGAGCGACCAATCAGAATCACGCTGGAATTTTCTTTAAGCAAACCAAAATCTGGATTTTATTTTATTGTTCCTCAAACGGAAGGTACTTTGGCTGACCGCGGAGTTCATGCATTCACAGCTGGTATCCCCAATACGTCTCGGTACTGGTTCCCATGCGTTGACTGTTCTGAACCATGCACATGGAAGATCGAGGTAACCGTACCGGAGGATATGATCGCCGTTGCTCCGGGAGAGCTGGTGGATGCTCCATATTACACGGGAGACTTGGTGCATAAAACATACCATTTTTACCTGGCACAGCCTGTAGCTGCGCCTTACATCGGTCTGGCTATCGGTGCCTTTGAGGTGTACCCTGATCCAACACTCTCAAACAATGCTGCTCATTTTTGTCCCACTGGATTACTGCCCCTTCTCAAGCACACAATCTCGCATGTCCCTGAGATGATTGAGTATTATGAAGCCATACTGGCTTCCCAGTATCCTTTTGCTACGATCAAAACGGTGTTTGTCGATCGCGCTTTTAGCGATTTTCAGGCTTATGCTTCGTTATTGATTTTCCCTGTGGATTTGCTCCACTCGCCGCAAATCATTGATCAAGCGATCGAGACGCGCAAGATCATATCTTTAGCCATAGCGTCTCAATTTTTTGGATGTTTCATCGCGATGCACACCTGGTCTGATGCTTGGCTTCCGACGGGCATAGCGGGTTATTTGTCAGGCTTGTATCAGAAGCGCGTATTTGGAAACAATGAATACAGGCGGATTATATCTAACGAAATGCGTCAAGTGACCACCTACGAACACACAAAATACGGGATTCTATTGAATCCATCTCGATGCGTCACGAAATCTACTCATTTCGGACTGACTTCACCTCAGGTGAGTAGCGTCTTTTCACATTGCAAATAACTATCACTTTGCTACTTTGTGTTGAGGGTTTTCGTTCCCATAAGTTGTTCAATTCGCTTCTACATCTCCGTCTCTACTATAACCTTGAACTGGCGAAATAGACGCTGTTTGACAAGTTTGACACATCGGTTTTACGATTTTTACCAGTCAGAAGAATCCGTTGCCACTACATTTCACTGGTGCTCATTTCCATTGCTCTTGTCTGCTACTGTATGAAGTCGGCTCAACAAGTCTTCACTAAGTGTTGCGTTTCATTGCCTACTGGATGCTGTTTTAATCGGGCTTTTGCAGCAACTGATGGCGAATGTTTCGCCTTGCGACGGCTTGTTTGTTTCACTCCATCCACCATACCCAGCCGGAACTCCTTCGGCCCATACTTGCACAATGACACGTGAATCTATCAACATTTATTTCCGCCTTGCGATCGACTGACTTCTCATGCTGGTAACAACATCGTCTCTAGTACAAAACCGAGTAATAGTTCCTCACTTCTAAGACCTAGTGTCTGATCATCTCCAATCAATGATACTCTATCGGTTCCGCACCCAGAATTGTCGCTCGATTTGGAGCACGTGTGTGGACACCGATCATGCACTTGTATGTGCTGACATGCGGATGCGCTTTGGCGGACGCCCACGACGACGCTGTGAGCGCATTGACACCAGCCAACTGACAAAGCCAGCTGTTCTGAATGCGTATCGAAGTACGCTGACATGCGAGTTGAGTAATCGCTCACTGGAGACAATTGTTGGTCACTGGTCACATGTTCACCAGAGCTTACTATTAGCAGGCAAATCCTCATGTGGTATGTCTAATATCCAACATGGATATTGGGTCTTTTCTCGGTCTCTGGAACTTATCGACGCTTGCCGGCATATCCCGGCTGGAAGCGAACACAATGAAACTCGCAAAGAGCTCCGGTCAAAAATCCGTGCTAGCCTGTAGAGAGACCGCGAATCTTGGTGGTCTCATCGTGCGTCAGAGATGGAAATGGCCGCTGCCCTTGGCAACCATCGTAAGTTATTCCGTCTGATACGGGTAACGGGCAGCAGGAGACCTGGTGTTAGTGAAACTACAAGTAACGAGAGTGGACAGCCTATCCACAAATCGTCAAAGCGTTTGGAGCTTTGGGCTGAGCATTGCGAGAAGCAATTTAATCGGCTAGAATTGTTCGATTTTTCGCCGGCCAGTGATCGCTCTGCTCCGTGGGCTGTCCCTTTGGATCCACCGTCTTACTCAGAAGTCGAACGTGAGATCGAACTGTTGAAGTTTAGCAAAGCAGCGGGACCTGATGATCTTCCTCCAGTCCTCTTCAAATTCAGAGGCTCTGCTCTTGTTGATGCTTTACATGAATTACTGGTGAAACTGTGGGAGCAGGAGACTGTCCCAACCGACTGGAGCCGCTCCGTTATTGTTCCCATCTTCAAAGGCGGCTCGCGCTCGGAATGCGGCAACCATAGAGGAATCAGTCTGATCTCCATTGCCTCCATAATCCTTCACAGGTTGGCTGGCGCTCGTGAAAGACAGAATCGTGAGGAGCAAGCCGGGTTTCGTCGGGGTCGTGGCTGCATCGACCACATCTTCACCTTGCGTCAGTTGTTGGAGCACCGTCACAAATATTGGCGGCCCACTGTAGTCGTGTTCCTTGACATCAAAGGTGCCTTCGATTCGGTTGATCGACGTGCCCTTTGGAATTGTCTGTCCACCAAAACCGAGGGATTCGAACCGGTGAAAATCCACTGCGCACGGAACGACTAGACGATAGAACTAACTCGCCGACGTTCTGTGGCGTCACAAAGCTTCTATCAACTAGTGGTCTACAAAATATGTCACTATCAATGTCCCCGCGAAGAAATTGAGAGTCCTCATCAGACGTAACGGATCCACAAGAGGATACTCGCTATTCTTTCAGCTCATACTCATGTAACCATTGTTCCTGTTCGCTAATCCTAAGCAAAGCTGCAGCCAGCTGCTCCTGAGACGCTTCTGGGTGCGAGCTACAAACATTTGTGGCCTTTTCGTTTTATAAGATTTTGGTCGATTGCATGCATTAACATGCGAGTCAGTCTATTCCACTTTGTTGCTGCGACCGGTACTGCCGACGTACAAGCTTAATCACCAAACCTATGCACGGTCTGGGCGGTAAAATACGAGGACGATGAGCGGAATAAGTTGTACTGAATGAACCGTGGTTCTACAAGAATTTAAAGTCACACTTACAGAGGTGACTTACGAACAGGTAAATAGACTTGCAAACCGATGTAAATAAATCCAGTGAAGTTCGAATAGCGGCAGGAATGGAGGTTCCCTAAACGTAGCGCCGTAAAACAAAAGACTGGATACATAAACTCAGGTTCTGGTTAAAGAGCAGAAATGTTATATAAAATGATGTAAACACATAAATTAACTCAAATGTCTGTTCGTCCCTTCGAATAATTATCGCAATTACAACACAACATCCTTCAGTACAAATTATCGCAAGGTGAAGATGCGTGGAGTGAGAAAATATTAACTTGTCAGTAATGTCATTTAGCTTCGCGAATTGCAATTCACACTGGGCTGTCGAACAAAGGAATCATTGACCCTGCTTACCTTACCCAGTACTTTGTAATCATCGTCACGTTTGATTAGTTGGGCGACGCAGCCCTCCCAAACCTGCAGAACTTCCCGCCGAGTCTGATTCTCTGCACGGCATCGTTCAGATGTAGCTTCCACTTGTAACCGAAGTGCTTCGTTTTTCATGACAACAGTGTCCAACTTGCGTCGCACTTCCGTGCGTCTTTCACTTAGCCTTGCAGCTTGACTGTTCAAAGTCTGGAAACATAGAAGGCGTCTATAGATTCGTCAAGAAATCACGTTAAGTTACTTTCAGATAACGCAGCGATGTGCCAGTTAATCTCCCAAATCCGCATTAGTCAGTACTTCAAGCATTTACTTAATATATATATATATATATATATATACATATATATATATATATATATATATATATATATATATATATATATTATACACAATCTGTGGTACAGATATTGTGCCATCGGAATCATGGCTGAATAAGAAAACAATATGAATAATAAGAAAAGGGCAACAAGAAATGCTTTTTTTGTCAAGTTTACCACTCACAGATTTTGAATTTTTTTTCAGTTTGTTCTATTTTAGGGGTAGGAAGAAGGGACACCGCAACAAACCGATGCACACGTCCGCCACTGACATCGATCTTGTTCCATGGCTTCCAACGTCTTCAACCTGCAAGTATCCGCATCTCTCAGACCCCAACCAGATAGTCGACAACAACCGGCAGAGGCCAACTGTTTCGTCTGCTTTTTCATGCGACTTCTCCATGTTGTAGGATGTCCACCAGACCGTCTCTTCCAGCCCTGTCCAACAACCGCAAACAACGCACGACACGGGTAACGCCGGACAGTAATGCGCAATACGTGTCCCAACCACCGCAGTTGATGCAGTGAGACGAGCTCCTCGAGCGAGTGGCTTCCACGTCCAAAGACACCCTATCTAACTTCCACATTGCTTACGTAGTGTTACCACCACACACGGGCAATGGACCGCAGACAGCGGTGCTCGAAGACGGATATCCTGCGCAAGTCATTTTACGAATTGGCCAGGTCTCGCATCCGTACAACAGTACAGCACGAACAGTTGCACAATAGACCCGCCCTTTGATGGAGAGACGAATGTCGTGGCGACGCCACAAGTGCCTCAGCCTAGAAAACGCGAGGCGTGCTCTCGAGATGCGCATCGAAATCTCGTCTCCAACAGCCCCGCCAGCAGTGATGCAACTTCCAAAGTAGACAAGGCTCTCCACAACCTCAAGTGTCTCACCAGCAAGTGTGAGTGCAGGCAGAGGCACCTGCCAGTCTTGAAGGAGAGCCTTGCATTTGGATGGCGAAAAGTACATACCGTACTTTGATGCTTCAATCGCCAAGCGGTCTAATGCAAGTTGGACGACTTGTGGATCGTCACCCAGCAAGACGATATCATCAGCATAATCCAAATCAACAACTCGACTACCTGGGAGGAGCTCAACGCTAGCGTTCAACGAATCGTCAGAGCGTTCTTCAGGACATCCTCAATGGCAAAGTTGAATGGGAACGGAGAGATAGGGCATCCTTGTCGAACTGCACTGGAGACCACAAAAGTATGCGAAAGCTTTCCATAAGCCCTAACCCTGCCCGAGGTCAGACTGTATAGAGCGCGCAGTATGGAGACGAACTTCTCGGGGACACCATTCCTCAGAAGGCACTGCCACAGTACTGTACGATCGACAGAATCGAAGGCTGCACGGATATCCAGGAACACAGCAATAGTTGGCTTCTGATACACATGGCGGAGGTTGAGGGTCTGGCGCATTGTGAAGATTTGATCGATGCAGCCGCGACCAGGGCGAAACCTAGCTTGTTCTTCTCGTTGCAACGATTCGCGTGTTGGGGATAGCCTTCGAAGTATGATGGACACCAGCAGCTTGCAAACGACGGGGACTAAGCTTATGCCTCTGTAGTTGGAGCAGATTGTGCGCAGGCCCTTTTTGAAGATGGGGACGACTATCGATTCACCCCAAGATGATGGAACCTTCTCTTTCGACCAAATTTTCGAAAACAAAGCGGTGAGTTCTCGTACCAGCGATGCGCCACCATCTTTAAATAGAGCTGGGTGCTGACCATCAGGACCGGGAGCTTAATAACGCTTCATGTGCCGGAGCTCCTGCTCGATTTCCTGGGAAGAGGGAGGATCTATGGGGGTAGACCACTCGGCCCCAGCGCGAGCGCCAGAGGTAGCAGATGGAGCTGGGTGCCAACAAAACTGCGAGCCAAAATGTTCGGCCTATCGCTCCAATCGTCGTTGAAGGTTGGTGATTAAGGTGCCACCCTCTTCGCATATTGTTTCACTTATACCAGATCGAACACCTTCGTTGACTCGAATGAGATGGAAGAGTTTCCTGGTATTACCACAGAGACTAGCAAGCTCCATCTCCCTGGCACGTTCACACCACCAAGCTTCGCGATCCATTTGCAGACTCCTGCGCAACTATCGACCCAGGGATTGGCGTTCTTCAACGTGTCTGGAATCCGATGGGATCAAGCGGCGTCTGTCCATCAGCGACAAGGAGTCGGCGGAAATCCAATGTTTCGGTGGGTGACGGGTAAATCCACAAGCGTCGATACTGGCGGAAACCAAAGCATCTTTGATATGCGCCCACTGCGAATCGAGATCACGGTCAATAGTTGAGCCGAGCAAGGTTGACAGTGAGGCTTGGTACCTGGTTAAAACCGCAGGGTTTTGTAGATTCGCGACGTCCGGTCGGTAGTGGGCGCGCTTAGGTGATCCTCCGAAACGCATGCAAATCTTAGCACGAACCGATGCGTGATCAGAGTCTAGAAAAGTTGACCAGTACGATCGGCAGTACGTTACGCTTCCGCGCCATCTGTAGCTGATTGCTATGTGGTCAAGCTGGGAGCACTCTTGCGTTTGTGAGGGCGGGAGCCAGGTAGCAGTGTCTCCTCGAGTGTCGAAAACTAGTGCTCGAAAGAAACAAGCGATGATCAGAGCAAAGTGTAAGCAATCTGTCTCCATTGTCTGATCGACTGCCACCGAGACCAAAACTACCCCCAATGTGGTGCTCGCTTGGTAGAAATATAAAACTACCATCGTACACTAATGTCAGTTCCATCATGCAACTTTTCTGCATTTTAGATTGTGTCGCGGTGATCTTGTCGTATAATGCACGAGAGGTCGGCAGGTGGCCGAATGGACTGCGGGTCTGTCTTGTAAACATTAGATTACGGGTTCGAATCCGCCTAGGAGTGGGTGTCCTGGAGGCATATTTAGCCCACATGCCACTGCTTGACGCGTGGTAGAAAAGCGCAGTTGCGGCGTACAGCTGGCGATTTATTATTAGTAGCTTTTATCTAATGCACGCGAGACCATGCTCCTACCTCCAGTCATTATCCACCTCCACTTCGTGCACTGTCACAATCTCTGCTTCTGGCAATATGTGTATATAAATGACACACGAAGGTTAGTAGAAATCAAACCTTGGCACGATGTTGAAACGACACAGTATATACGCATCGCCAGCGAAGCCAATGTTCCACTAGTCCAACCGGGTGGCCACGGGAAAATGGGTGAAACAACCACTAGAGTGTCAACAATATAAAGAGCGTGTCAGTGAACTCATCAAGGCATCCACATACAGGTACTACAATAATGGGTTTATCACGAGCAAAGAAGCAAATACCGAACGACATCCCTAGGTGAAAACAGAACAGCGAAAACGCGTGTCAAGAACAACGGCAAGTATTGTTGACCCTATCGCATGCATCACATGTGTCCACAGCTTGCTAAAGTTACGCTGTGTCTTAAGTTAGCTTAAACCATATCCTGTAGGTGGAGTAACGTTCCACCAAATCGCAATTTGAGTTCGGTTACCATAAGGGTGGAACTAATAACAGTCGGGAAATCGTTCCACGGCTGGCTAGGATATCAAACTTGGATGGCCTCTCGTAAGTGTTGGGAATTGGCGATGATAGGATCAAATCGGTCGGACACCCTACGAACGACACCCAACTACTGACTAGCTTCTATTGGCCTATCTTAGTCCACAAAGAACATGTTGTACGAGCCCACCGAAATCACATTGTTTGAAAGCAAGCTGCAAAGGAGGCGTTGGTGAATCTACCGTTAGTGTGTGAAATGCCATCTCCAGGAAAGTATGCGCTATACCACGTAATGTACATGAGTTGCTGCATCGTCACGTTGTTTGTTAAATGCAAATAAAGCGAAAGCGCGGTGCAAGCTTGACACGCTCGGAAAGAAGGAAGTTAGGCAACAATATGACGTGCTATCCTGTTTAGTGGATTTTAGTTGGATGCTCTTAAGACCGGTGTTTTGGCTGGGATTTCGGTGGCGCAAAATAGTAGAAGTAGGGCACTTCATCATCTATTATAGTAATACGAGCTCACCCCACAAATACAGATACTGTCCACTGCAAACTTACAAGAATTTACTTCTGCTTTGATAACAAAGATAGAACAGATTACTGTTGAGTCATGCTTCCAAGCGCAAATAGAACGTGTTTATACCAGGGTTGCCAAACCAGGGTGGCGTATTCTCGAGAATCAAGTCAAGCCAACAAGTCAACAATGCGCTTTATACACTCAAATACCGAGCTGGGAAATTTATTTGCAAACGTTTCACTGCCATGCGAGGCGGCATCATCAGTGTGTTGAGATGTGGAGTGTAATGTCACTGATGGAATTGTTGATCCGTGATCGGCTTGCAGGTGACTTTTCGAAAGTGATGGCTTCGACATTTGTCCCGTGATCGCTACCCATCTCCCCGTGGCGGAGGTCGTCGCTCGGGTTGTTCCTATCCAAGCGGCGTCTAGTAATTTCTCTTAGTTCTCTCCGTCGGAGAGAACAGAGAAATTACGAGAGAAGGGGGAAGCTACATCACCTTCCGAACTGGGCGTTTTGGGTTCAGATGTTTCATCAGCAGACTTGACCTGAATCTCGTCAGGGATAGTTTTAGCCAGATAATTTACGATGATTTTGAGTCGCTTTCATTTCCAGTCAGAGATCAAGATTTGGATTCCACCGACCTAGTTGCACTTTTTCGCTGAATGGGCTGATGTAGGGGCAATCACTTTCATCGTTAAACTGACCTAAAGTAAAATGTTGGTTTAGTCCGATCGTAACTAGACTCCAGTTCAGTGTTTATTAACACAATTCTGCTCTCCCAATTGTCCCGACACATTTTTCGGTTGGCGGCAGAGTGGTCTGCACGCCTGATTTACA